AGGACTGGTTGCGGACGGATTTTCTTTTTGTTTTTCGTTGTTTTTGCATAGGTGAGGGACCTGCCTTTTTTTTTGTTCCCCAACAGCTGAAAGTTTTGGGTCTCAGCCCAGATAGGCTCCGGGGTGGTCTGGGGCGGCCCTGAGGTAAGGTTCCACGAGGGTTCCACTAGGGTTCCACGAGGGTTCCACGAGGTTCTGCGAGGGCTGCCGGGTGGTGCGAGCACTAAAAAGAACATCGCATGCTGTTGGGGATATCACCTGAGCTTATTTTTGTTTGGTGTTCCCTTTTTGCATATGTTGGGGTGCCCTCAAAAAAGATACAGCCATGTATCATCCAAAAGGCGTGCCTTATTCTGAAACAAATGTAGGAACCAATGGCCTTGCTTGTTAGCCATAGGGGCCCCTATTCCGTGTTGCTACCCCCCAGCGGTTTGTGTCACAGTATGGCCCCTTCGCACCCTCCCCAAACAGTAAAACTACTTTGTCTAACAACCAATGACCCAACCCAATAAACATAACACGAGCCACCAACCAACAAGCAAAGAACAGCCATTTTTTGTTAACTCACTAGAGCACAACATGTTCAAGGAATGAATGAGATCAAGAACTTAGACAAGCATAGCAACGCAAAAACACAATCCAGTCTGGCATCCCTAAAATCACATCCCCAAAGACACACCCAACCACACATCCATGGACTCTCCTTCCTGAAGGACACCCACTAGGATGCCCCCAAAGACATCCCAACAACACCCAAGAAAAAACGGCAAACAATTCCTTCAAAGACATTGCCCAAAGAACATGCCTCAAAGACAATTCCCAACCGCAAATACAATTTCAAGACATCCCAAAGACACGTCCATAGACTTCCCCAAAGCCCCCCAAAATCCCCAAAGAGCCACGCTTGAAGACCTTCGCGGAGACACCCGCAAGGGCACGGAGGACACAGCCATAGTCCACAAAGACTTGCGCAAGGAAGCTTGCAGAAATCGCTCAAGACATGTGCGACAAAGAAGCTCTCAAAGACAAACCCAGCCGTTCACATAGCTGGAAAGACCTGGGGCTTTCCCAGTGGCATCACCAACGTCCCAGAGACATCCAAAGATATCCTCAAAAACCATCCCTGACCCAATAACAAGACATGAGACTCCCATGGTCAATGAGAAGCTTCTTGGAAACCCCAAAGACATGCCCAACGACATCCCGAAGCCACCTTTGAAGACTCAACGACATCCCCGAAAGACCCAGACAAATCTCCAAAGCATCAAACATGCCCCGACACCCAAAAAGGCATCCTCAGAGAAGTTTTCCCAAATGCCATCCCTAAGAGCAAGCACACCCAAAAGCCCCCGAAAGACAACCCCTGACGACATTCCGCTGGATACATCCCAAATACATTCTTCGAGGCATCCCAGATAGACACGAAAGATATGCGCCAAACATCCGCAAAGACGTGGCCAGAGAGACTGCTGCCCGTCCCCACAAACATTCATTCATCAAGACAGCCACGAAAGCTGCGCACTCCGTTTTCTAAAGCACCGTACTCACCAAAGTGCGCCTGCAGAGAAACGTGAAATGTGACCCGTGACCCTGCAAAGCATTCATTTCGCCGGCCATGACATGCGCGGCCATCGAAAGTACTGCGCCTGCCATTAAATGCGGACTTTGTGCTTCAGAGTGCTGTGCCTGCCATGACATTCGACATGCGAAGCTCCAAAGCACTGTGGTACTCTAGGCTTCAAAGTGCCGCGCATGCCAAAATCAGACACGAGTATCCACTTTCAAAGTAGTTTTCCTGGGACGAAAAACCGCATTCAAGAGAGCCAACCTTGCACAAACATATTTGTGTCAGTGTTGTAAACATGCCAATTGTGTGGCCCTTGAGCGAGTGCTTGCACGCGCCTGCATGCATCCCTGGAACGCCAATCACAATTGCAGACAACCAACACAGCGAACCTTTCAAAACACGCTGGCTGCCCAGAAAAATGGCACGTCAATCAATGCACGCACAGGCGGATGTAAAGCAGCGCTTCCCAACTCATTCCAAGTGCTTCGTTTGCCGGCTCCCTAATAAGCACGGCGAGCGCGACACTCATGAGCATGCAGTGGACGCTGTACGAACACAAACAAACGTGAACGCGCAGAATTTGGTCATTTCTTGATCCCTTTAAACATTTCCCTTCTGCTATGCGTGCGGGAAAACAACGAACTCAATTGAGCAGCGTCCAAAACCTGCATGTACATGTTTAGTAAGAGTCATGTCATATCGACCAGCGCGTAATGAACAACTCCACGAAGGTGGCGTAAGCTGGTGGCGTAAGCCAAATCTCCAAATGTGTCGCGTAAGCAAAAACTCCACACGCGTAAGGTGGCGTAAGCTGGTGGCGTAAGCAGAATGATACGACATAGAAAATCATGACACGTTGAGGACATGGCTCAATTGAACCAATGAACTTGCAACAGCGAAAGGGACACACAACACTTGACAAAGATAGATAGCTTCACCAAATAAATTTATTGCTAAGTACAATGGAATCATACCATATAGGATAGTAAATGTTAGAGCCGCCTTAATGTCAGCACGCAATGATGCAATGTCAGTAGCTGTCAGTAGGCTGTTCCATATTATAGTTTTAGCAGGACTGAGAAGTCAAACCAATTTGCTGGGGAGGTTGATCCAATCAATCTGCTGGGAAACTTGAACCAATTATATGCCGGTCCCCACATTCCCACCACAACCCCTGCCCGGAGGTCGGACCTATCCGCACCCAGGACAAACCAACCCTAGACCAAGCTTAAGCCAACCCGAAGCCAGCTCGAAATCAACCCTAGCTAAACCGATCCCATCCCTGAACCCACTTGGCTAAGCCAACCCTAAGCCAACCCCAAACCCTAAATCAACCCCAACTGGATGGAGGTGGGTGGGGGGGCTGGCAACCTTGTACCCTTTGAGCATAGGCAGAGAGAGAGAGAGAGAGCGAGCGAGGGAGAGCAACGGGAGGGACTTATGTGCAACCCTCAGCTTGTATGACAAGCTAGGTTGTTCAAAATAGTGGAACCACAAGGGACGACGGTTGTTTTGGCCTGTCAGGATCACATGAGGAAAGCAGGCCCTGTCGCTCATGTGGCCGCGGCCTTATTGGATTTTTGACGGGTCTCACAAATGGTTGGTTGCACAAATCCCCATGTCCACAGGGTGTTAGTTGCCAATCATTTTCTTTTATTTTTTTTTAATTTCACCCCATGGATTCAGCCCATGAAACGTCGCAATAGGCATGCGAGCCGGATGGTGCAACAGTTGCCTACGAGTGGGGATCTCAGAGAATACCACGAGTGACTTGGTGGTCAGGAGGCTAACTTGATTCGGGGCCAATGGCTCGCTTGAGCAACATTTGGGGGTGTCTTAAAATGAGAGGGCCGTGGACTGTGGGAGTTCACTTTTCGCAGTATGTGGATCCTCTTGTGCATGCAAGCCTGTTTGCACTTGCTTTGCTTGTGTTAGACATTGAGTAGACTTAGATAAAGATGTCAAGTATAATTTCATGATAAAGGACTGCAGAGGTCCAAACACATCGTGTTTTTACCTAGCCCCCAGCACTACCATGGTCAGAAAATAAAGTGACACGAAGTGTGTTGTAGCGTTTTGACCACTACAATTCACATCTCCACCAACGGCCTCTCTCTATTTCATTTTCTTTGACGGGATTTCATTTGCAATTGATTTTCATTGCGAATCACTTCGCATTTAAACCCACCTGATTCAACAAAAACTCGAGTTTCAGATTCAAATCGTCATTTCAAACATGAATTCCCTTCAATACAAGCAATCCACTGCTCTGCCCAAAACTAGACACCCAAAAAACCTCGAGGAAACCAAACAAAAACACAACCAGCACAACCTTTCTCCAGAACTTGGCACCGCGAGTTGTGAGTGGCTGCCTCTTGAACAAGTGTCTGAGTTGTTTGTCTCAAGTCTTGTTTTTGGGCTTTGGGCAGGGCAAATCCAGTGGAAAGACTGCCAGAGGATTGTTTTTTTTTTTTTTTCTTCTTTTTTTTTGGATTGGCGTTTCTCGGTTTTCTTGAGGTATGTTTACTTCTTTAGAAACCCGGCGATGCATTAGAACAACAGAAGAGGCTGGAACTCGCACACATCCCAGAAAAACGACTGCAATTCCCACAACTCCCCCAAAACCACCAATGCGCTTTCACAGTTTTCTGTTCTGTAGAATTAGGGGACCCCTAAAATGATCGGTTCCCTTTTGGTTCCCCTTGACAACCAACAAAAGGGGTCCCTTCCAGGAGAGAGACACCCACAAACGCTGCGTTTCTAGGTCAGAGGAGGCTGCCCAGAGTGCGGTCGATACCTTGAACGGCTCGATCTTCCGGGGGCATGCCGCTCCGGCTCGCATCGAGTTGCTTCGTGTCCGTGGTGAACCCGATCCGGTTTTCTGGACGACAAGGGTTAGGTTCAGGGTATTTCAAGCAAAACGCGGTTTTCCCGATGGTTTTCCGGACAACGAGCGTAGGTTCACGGTGTTGCATGCCCGGAAGCTTGGGTTTTTGACACCGTGGAAGTCTTTGTCTCTGGATTCCGCTGACATGCCAGGCCCTCACCATGGAGGCGCGGTGAAGCAGCAAGTTTGCAGAATTGGCCAAGTGGGTGTGGGTTCAAATTAAACAACAAGGCACCGCATTTTTTTGGTCCGTGGTTCCATTTACCAGGATTCCTTTTCTTCTACCTACTTTTGACCCACAGCCAAGTGTCCGCGAGGTGGCCTGTGGGTTTGGTGTATCTGTCAGGTGGCCTGAGCCGGGACCCGCCAGAAAAGAGATGCATGTCGCGCACATGACTTGGGAGCCTCAAGGCGCATGGTGATGAGTGCCTTTCAGGTTGCCGCGGCCCGCACCCGATCCGGCTCAGCTTCAAGCGGTCGATTTGAGAATGCGCCAGCCTCCGAGCCGGAGACGCAGCCAGGATCCGTGTGCTTGCCTTGTGAGCCATGGACGATCTTGCGCACGTCAGCTTCGTGAGACCTGGCTTTGAAGTGTAGTTGACTGAGACTATGTGCAAAGTTGAACTCTAATTTAGTTTGTGATCGCCATAAGCACCATTTTTTACTGCTCACGTGCTGTGGAGCACCCCCTATCGATACGGAGCAAGCAAGGGAGTGCTCGATTGTACAGGACACGGCACAGACACACATGTAGCTTGGCATGCTTCGATCGTAAGGAACACAGAGTTTCTGCAAAAGAACGGGCTGACTGTGAAGAATGTGCTCCTTGTCCAGAACTGATTCCGGAATTTTTGGCTTTTCTGCACGAGGCTCGTGTTGACTTCAAGAGAAATGAAGGGGGCATCATTTTTTGGGACAAACCCAGGTTGGACTACTTTTTCACCTCGCCTTTCTACCTTCACTTTGGCGGTGCCACGTCCTTGAATGAGCAGCGGCGACGCGGGCAGATTGAGGCCAGGCAGACGGGGCCCCATCATTTGGCGAGTGACAGTATATGTTTGCATTCACCTCCTACTTGCAAGGATCCGTTTGCAAGCGAGTTCGTGTTGCTGGCTGCGAATGAGGATGCCAAGGAAGGCGGGTTTGGAAGAGGGACTCCTCGGCAAAGGATGACCAAACTATGCGTGGCCTTTGCGTTTCTTCTTGCTGATCTGACATGTCCTGCATTTGGCAGGCCGAGTGGAGACCTCTGTCTTCGTCATTCAAAGACGTTCAACTGTTCCTCACGAAGCCTTCTACGTTATCTCAGGTTGCCCGGACTGCAGGTTGGAGTTGTGAGTATACATCTATATATGGGGAAACCACTTGTGCCCTTTGAGGCAACCCGTTTTTCGGTGTCACGGGTTTTTCAGAAGGAACGTCAAGACCGAAACATTCAGCTATAGTTTTTGCAGAGGAGCTACCCCTTTTCTTTTTCGTTTGCCTCTTTCCCTCCAAAACATAAAAGAAAACAAAACAAAACACCACCAACATCGGAGCAAAATGGGGGAGAAGTGGAAGAGTGCCCCCCCCCCAGCTGCCAGGCCATGTGCTCCGCGTCTGAGGCAGCAAAAATCCCTGTAAACCTTCGTGAGATGAACATCGTTAGCTTACTGAAAATGAACCTTGAACCTTGATTCCTCAAGCTGAAAATCCCCCACTTCAGGAGCCCCTCTGCTTCGTCATTTTCCCTCCCCCCCAAAACCCCCAGCTGAGCTGATCTGCTCCGAGGCAGCATCTACAAGGCCCCGGAGATCTCGGAGCTGATGGGCAGCGCCCTGTGCCAGGCCGCGCTCAGCGCCGCCGGTCCGGGCGCCCGGAGCGAGCGCCGGACATCGGTCCACGGGGGGGAGGTCTGTCCGGGTGTTTCTGGGGGGTCTCTTGTTTATGGAGTGGCCGGGTTCCCGTTTTTTTTTTTGGGGGGGGTGGGTTGCTGGGTTGCCCCCGTTGGTTTAGGGAAAGCGGCAAGTTGAAAAGAACGGGCTTTTGGGAGTTACATGGAGTTACCCTCAGGTCCACTTTGACATGGAACGTCACGGTTTGGGGGTCCATGTTCCTTACAATTGGACCCTGTGGTGGGTTCCTTGTTAGTGGTACCCACTTGTTTGGTTGGTCTAGGGAAACCACAAGTTGAACGTTGTTTTTTGTGTGGGTCCAATTCCAAAGAAACCCCCCGTTAAAAAGGAAGAAGAAGCCAACCATCTCAGAGACGATTTGGGTGTGTCTTACAAATGGCTAGTTTCCTTTTGGTTTCCCTTTCAGAGTATTGTCGGAGGTGCCTGAAACTCGGACACTTGGGCCCACTGAGAGCAACAGAGTGGATTGGGGTGCATGGGTTTGTTTGAGTCGTGCGCCTGTTTTGGGGTGATTTGAAAGAGAAGCGAAAGGGAAGCCAAGAGGCTCCATGTAAACGGGATCTTCCGGGTTGTTCTAAAGGCAACCCAATAGAGAAATCTGGTTTGGGGGTTTTCCAGCGAGACTAAAGCGCGTCCAACGCGCTTTGAGAGGGCTGTTGCCACTGTTTCTAGAGTTGGGATGCCAGGCATCCTGAAGAAGCAGCTGGAGGCCATGCGCCAAAAGGAGTTGCCAGACTTGCCGCGCCTTGGGCGCGCAGCGAGCAATTTTTTCCGGCAAGCGCTCGGCATGTCTTTTGAATCGAAACCCTTTTGGGGGAACCTCCAAGGGTTTCTTTCCAATACATTTTGTGTTTTCCTCGTTCTTCTTTTTTGTTTGTTTTTGAAGTGACATTCAGTGAGCCTCATTCCCACTTGCTTTTCGGAGTCGGGTCCGACGGCCCAAGAAAGCAGTAGACAAGCTGCACTCTTTTTCCAAACGGATTGCACGTCACACTTCGGGAAAGGTTCACTTCCATTGGTGTCATTAATATTTTTCGCTTCTTTTTCTTTTTGCGGCGGCAAAAATACACATTTGGCCTGGGTTGGATCACTCGGTGGGTTTCTGCCAGGTCCGAGGGAAGGTTGGAGTCGGAGCCCTCGGAGCCCTCGGAGCCGACGTGGCCTGCCTGGTGCCTCTTTGAGACCAAAGGCCCGCCGGCCTGGCTGCTGGCAGAAGCCAAACTGGCGGCCAAGGCCATGGGGGACTTGCTTGGGGTGGGGGGGGGGCAAGCGCAACCCAAATGGGGCACGTGGAAGGCCAGCTGGAGTGCGGGCGCCTTTCTTTTGTTCCCAGAGCCTTTCTGCCGCCAGTTGGCACCTGAGGTTTCCAAGTCATATTTTGCCCCAAACCGCTCTCAACTCCTTACCCGACAAGACTGTGCCGTAATTCAAAAGAATTTGACTTGTGTGAAGATTGAACACGTGGCGTGTGCCTTCTGGATTGGTTTGAGATTGAGGCTTGCAGTTTGATTTTGTCGACCTGATCCAGAGCAGCTTCGCAATCGATTTGGATTCGATTGCGGCCCAGGTCCCAAGATGAACGTTACCGAGCTACTTCCCCGCTTGCGGTCTTGGTCTCTGACGAAAAGCTTCCGACGACCTAGCGCAACAGCAATGCCTCGATCGTCGCCGGGGACGGACATCTACTGAATCGATCGGACCCACGAATTGGAACGACGAAGCGACTGAAGCGAAGCGACTGTCCCCTACATCCGATATTGAAGAAGCACAAATAATGAATCATTCATCTATCCATATATACACTCTTGTGAGGAACTGCACCCGCAAAAAATCATGCAAACTGCATCTTTTTTTTTTTTTTAATAAGAACCTGAACAACGGACATCGTTTAGAGTTCCTTCTGGAAAATGGCTGAAGATAGAATCGATTGTAGAAGAAAGGCAAGCGCTAGAAGATGATATGTGTTTGAATGGTACGACTATTGTTCGTTTTAATCTATTTCTTCCGATAACAATATAAGCATTATATATATACACATATATAAAATTAATAATAGATATAATTTTGAATATAATATAATTCTATATTATAAATCGATATTTATATTAAACTAAAATGATGAATTATATATATATATTGAATATATTGATGAATATTTGGGCAAACATATTTATGAATGGTATATAAATATATATATATATATATACAGAATAATAATAATGATAATAATAATAATATTGATATTATTAATTATTATTGATAATAATAGACATTTTATATATAACATATTTACGTTTTAATGGATTTTGTTAGCTGTATTGGCGGTATATAAGAGAATAGGGAGGAATATGAGAATTTTAACAATCTTTGAATACATTTACTCATTCTTGACCTTTTTACCTTTGAATTTGGTATTCTGCATTCGGCTCGGGTCTTTGTACGAGGCTGATACTTTGCTTTTTATAGGTTTGAAGGTTTAGATTAACTCACTAGGTTTTGTAAAATTTGTATATACTTCTGTATTTTCCTCTATAATGCGCACCGAGCGTCTTGGGTATCCGGACCTAGCTAGCAAGATATTGATAGTTGTCATGGTGGTTATTAGTTCTGTGCTGGCTTTTGAGAGCCTTGAATTGATGTGTTTCGAGTTGTTGGGCCTTTAGTTTTTGGGCGTATGGTTTATTTGTGGCAATATAGTCGTTTGTTATGACCATATGTTCTTAATCATTATTGCCGTATCTGGGTTCTTTATTACCTCAAATGGCGTTGGCTTATTTGCCAGCGTTGGGATTCCGATTTGTTTGGGATATGATATTCCCAAGCCAGATCTATACTGTCATTGCTCTTCCTGTGGTTGCTAACGCTGGGCTTTGTGTGGTCTTTACGAGCTTCAACTTCCAAGATTCCGTGTTGCAAACCTCAAAATTGTAAAAAAGACTCATTTGCACATCGACTACGCCAACTCCCGCGGAGGGTCGTCGCGCGCCGTAATCGTAAAACAATCTACAATTTTTACCTGTCGACGACGCCGATCCACGCAGGGCTCGCGCGGGCAAATCAGAAGTCGTAAGCAGTGCGTAGTGTTTTGCGCATTGACCGCGCTAATCCCCATATAGGTTATTATTCAGGCAACGTAGGTTCGGTCGTGCTGCGCCGCCTTAAGAAATTAATTAATTCCTTTCGTTTTTACATGTCTGGCGTGAGCTGTCTCGTGTTAGCTGGCTCGTGCTATTGGCTCGTACAAATTTGGTTGTGTAAATAATTTATATACGAAATTCAAGATTATATTTTCTCAAATTTAATATATATGTTCGGTTTTATAGCAAATCCCTGGAAATAATAAATATAGATGTCGTATACCGCATTTCTTGCTTTTAAGATTTGTGATTATCTCGGTTTATGAGGCCACTATTATAAATGATATTTTTCTTCAATATATAAATCATTATTATATATAATAAATTTAAAATATAACTATATTAATTCTCCTATAAACCGGTACGGCCTCGAGGTCGCATTTCCCGTGCGCCGATAAGCCGTTGCAGCGGTATTCCGGCCGAATCGTGTGCTTGCGCCGAGCGGTTATGCTTGTCCCGGTCTTTTCTCCGTGGCACAAGCTCCCGCCTCTTCGTGCGGCCCGGAGGCCCCGAAATTTTGTCGAAATTTCGGGGGGTTCTTAACAACTTTGCTTAGAATTTCCGCGGCGTAACCCGGCCACATTTCCCGAATTTTGGGTCGCTTCCGGCGACGCGACTCTTAGGTTTCCGGACGTTACCCCCACAATTTTCTTCAGAATTTGGTTCGACAAAAATTATCGGGCCAAAATTCGGGGAGATTTGGGGACCTGTCCGAGTCGAAATTTCTCGAACATTTCGTGCCGGGTGTCTCCGTATCCTTGCCTCTCTCTGTCTGTTTCCGTGTAACCGTATCTATTTGTTTCGTAATCTCTGTTTTGTCTATCTATCTTTGTGCATGTCTCTATTTGTCTATCTGTGTCTCTCTGTCTCTCGGGTTGTCTCGGTTTATCTCTATTTGTCTCTATGTGTTCGTGTCTGTCGTTCGTCTCTATTTCTTTACGTCTTTTTGTGTCTATCTATTTTCGCGTGTCCATGTCTGTTTATTTGGTAATGTCTGTTTATATATATCTTTGTTTTTAATGCTTATTTGTTTACGCTTATTTCTGCGAATCGTGCCGTGTCTTTCCTTTTTAAGCTTCGCTTGCTTCTTCTCGTTCTGTCTTTGTGTTCGGTTTTTATTATTTATATATTGTTTTTGCTTACTTGCTTGCTTTTCTCTCTCTTTCTCCATCTTTTTTTTTCCTCTCTTTCTCTTTTTCTCGCTCTCTCTCTCTTTTCTTCTCTCTCTCTCTTTTTTTCTCTTTTTCTGATTCTCTCTTTTTTTGGTTCTCTCTTTTTCTCTCTCTCTCTCTCTTTTATTCTTTCTTTCTTTTTTTCTTTTTTTTCTCTTTCTTTATCTTTCTCTTTCTTTTTCTTTTTCTTTCTTTCTCTCTCTCTCCTTCCTTCCCTCTTTCTCTCTTTCTCTCTCTCTCTTTTTTCTTATTTTTTTTCTTTCTTCTCTCTTTTTTCTCTTTTTCTCTTTTGCTTTTTTTTTTCTATGTTGGCTTTCGTTTTTTTCTTTTATTGTTTTTATTGGTTTTCTCTTTTTTTTTTCATATTTTTTTTTCTTAGTTTTTTTTGTTTAATTTTCTTTTTTTCTTCTTTTTTTTTTCTCTCTCTCTTTCTTTTTTTCTTTGTTTCTCTTTCTCTTTCTCTTTTTCTCTGTTTTTTTACCTCTTTGATTTTTTGTTGGTATTACCGTTAATGGAATGAATGGATTTTCTCTAATATAATAATAATTTTAGAATATAACATTTGTATTTTTATAAATATTATTTTGTTTTAATTTTATATAATATTTTGTTTTTGAAATATATAAATAACCTCAATTATAAATTATTCTATTAAATCTAATATTTTAATTTATTTATAAATAATCGAAAATGAAAAAAATAATACTAAATAATTAATAAACTATTTTTATATAATTAAATTTATGATTATCGAGATATAAATTTCAAATATATTATTAAAAATATACATATAAAATTTGAATATATATATATATATAATTTATATATTTTATAGATCGTTTTTTTAATCGAACTTTTGGATTCTTTTTTTAAAATAAACATAAATTAACATTATGGCAATTTTTTTCATATACTATTTAAATATTCCGAAATTATAATATTTAGCCGAAATTAGAAAAACATATATTATGTATTTATTTAATATTATTTATAAAAACAAATATATATTAGTAACTTATAGATATATAACTGGAATTATTAACATATTCTATATATATTATATTGAATTTCTATATAAATAACAAAGGGAAATATATTTTTTTAATTATAAATTTCGAATATCGAATATTTCGATATATATAAAATTTGATATAATTTTTAAAAAAGAATTCGTCGTGCTCAAAATACGGCTATAAACCATTCTATTAATATTTTATATACATATAATATTCACAATTATATTATTAAACTATTCGAAATTAGATTATAGAAAAATAGTTATATTTAAACTACATTTATATAATACTATATAAGAATCGCCGAGCCTAAAACACATTCGTATAATACTATTATATAGATATACATTCAAATTTCACCAATTCAAAAATATATTCATATAATATTACAAAATTATTATATATATATGCTTCAAAATACATCTTTAAACTATATAGTACTTATATTTTTAAACACAAAATTATTATTTTTGCTTTATCTATTTATATATTATCAAAATATTATTGCAATTCTACGAATTCGACATATTTTTTGTTTCTTAAAATATAAATAAAAATATTTTTATTTTTTGGTAACTTACCATTCATAATTTTATAAATATCTATTTCTATTTCTGTATTTTAATTATTTATTAATTATTATTTTAGTTTTAAATTAAATTTTATATATTAGTAAATATAAGTTTATACCAATAATAACTTGTAATTTTATTTACTCTATAAAACAAAACCGTGAAACTTGTGGGAAAATCATAATCACCCACAATTTTCTCGAAATATTCCGAATATTTCGGGAATCGTTTTCCCGAAATATTCCAAATATTTCGGGAAATACTATCGTCGAAATATCCGGAATCTTTCGGAAAAATGATCCGGAGTGCAATTATCGATATAAAATGGTCCGGGCTTTGAACGAAGCCGTTGTGTCTTCCAAATAAATTGCCGGTTTTTGTATTGGGTGTATCTTATTGGAATCGGTCCCCTATGGTCTGTTTCCTTGTAGTTTCCTCATTACCATTTTAGCGGTAAATAAGATATTAAATTCTTGTTGGGCCAATCCACTCGATCATCTTCACACACCAATTGGATTGACTTTAGACTTCCCTACTATGGATGGACGAAATCCTGCACCACCTAAGATTCTCTGGAATGATGATTCTTCAACACCAACAAGCACTTTCAAAGTGGTGCAGGATTTGGTTTCCCTATTTCCCTTTAATCGCCCGGCAGGCTCGCCATCGGAAGCTTTTCGACTAAATCCCCTAATAATGCCCTTTTTCCCCCTTTTTGGAAGGAGGGTTCCCCTACTAAAATAAACTACAGAAAAATTAGTACTCTAACTTCTAACCTTTCAAATCTGGAGGACCTAGCCACAATAAAAATTGACTCTCTGAAACTAATCACTGGAAACCCAGACAAGGGGGTCCTCCAACAAATTTGGCGCCGGATTCGCTTTCGGGGCATATATC